CACTCGGATCCTTGGCACCTGTGTATGTCTATAAAGTCATCAGGTAGATTTCAGTGGTAATGTTTATCACCTTTACTAATTAACATGATGTAATTTTTATGCTTCCTCCTGAAATATAATTCACCCTCCCATAGCCTCCCTCCCCCCACTAGAGCCCTTACACTCTGTTATCCCTGCTGCTATCCTCTGTGATGTTGTCACTCCCAGCCATTCCCCACTACTTGTCCATCTGGTGAATCTAGTCAGCCTATCTAGAGGTCTTTGTTTTAGGAAGGTCAGCTAAATGTTGTTCCTCATCTAGCAGAAATCAATTGTCAATATTCCTTTCCCATAGCCTCCCTCCCCCCACTAGAGCCCTTACACTCTGTTATCCCTGCTGCTATCCTCTGTGATGTTGTCACTCCCAGCCATTCCCCACTACTTGTCCATCTGGTGAATCTAGTCAGCCTATCTAGAGGTCTTTGTTTTAGGAAGGTCAGCTAAATGTTGTTCCTCATCTAGCAGAAATCAATTGTCAATATTCCTTTAGATAAGATTGGGGTCTACTCTTCATTTTCCCAGTTCTATGCTGGGTTACCATCCTGGCCAACAGCTCAAAAGACAGTATCTCCTATCTGGCATTGTTGCATGTTATGTAGCCTTTAGCTATACATATGGACTCTTAAAGAATTATATTGGCCCCTTTAATCTTTGGTTATACTTTCCTTTTGGGTGTTTAAGGCCTTACAGTAGGCCCAGATAAACCAATTTATTTTTACTCTGAAGGCCGTTTGAAGATCTGTTCCTCAGGGGTCACACAGGCTTGGGAGGAGCCCCTGGCTCCTTTCTTTTACCAGTTCTGCCTATGTGAAGATAAGTCAAAGGTCCTACTCGACCATGGCTGGATTGGAAGCATGGAGGAAGTGATTCCTCTGTGTTGACCCTCTTCTTTGTAGACTGGATACTGGTTCAAGTCCATCTCGTGGGGTCTCCTCAGCCTCCTTGATCAAGAGGACAAGGTGACCCACCACCATTATAGGACATTTTGAGAGATGCTCATAGTCCCCTGGAACTAGTCAGCCTAGGAGGGCAAGGAACAAAAACTCTCCTTTATGTCCCTCTGACCAAATTAGTATAGGCTTCAAAGTATGGTTGTTAGACATCTAATAAGGTTCTTCCACCAGTCTGATACTTTTAATTACTGTGTGCGATGTAGATAAATCTTGGGCAAAGACCAATCATTCTCAGATAAACCTTGCCTAGCCATATATTTCTTGATCTGGTATGTATAATTTTCAATGGGTTGTTGGACTAATATGATTCCCTGTGGTTTTTAAAAGTAGCTAGGCATTACTTTTCTCTCGCATTGTCTAAGCCCTCCATCATGGTTTCCCCAATTAAGGTGCCCCCATTTTTCCCATTTCTCTCTTAATAATACCCTTCTCCCATGGTGCCACCTCTCTTGAGCTCCTTTCCCCTTTTCCCCAAGGTTCCTTGTATAACCCTCCCTCTCCCCCCTAAA